ATAACATCAATTAAGATGACCGTAAGCTGAAGTCACCTGCTGATTCAGTTCGTAGTAATATGCAAGAAACCAGGCTCCGTTTGACTGAGGTTGTCCAACCTGAGGACGCATTTGTTGCGCTTTCATCGCACCCATTTCCTAAATTCAATCAAATAGCTGTAAACTTCATTAAATAACCCAAGAACTACAACTAGTTCGCTAGGAAAAAGGCTTCCTTATAATAATAAAATAAGCAATGAAGTAATGCGACAAGAAATGTTTTAACTTCAAAGTTTCAACAGAACAATAGAGAAAAAACGCATCAAAATAAAAAAAAAATTTTTGTTTTACCCACATACCGTCGGTAAACTCTGTGGCTGTGAACGAACCTTCTGGCGTCTCAGAAAAGCAAGAAGATTTCGAGTAAAGGAATTGGACCGCCTACGTTGACCTAAAAACATTTTTGTAAGAATTTGCAAGATTGGTTCCTGTCGCTGCGGAGAGAAACACTTACAGAAAAATGTTTTCTAACAATGAGTAAAATACATTAAAGCGTGATAGTACACTACGCTTACACTAGAAAATCTAATCCCTTCTATAGAAACCCGACAATGACACCAGAAAACCGTTGTGGAAAGAAATGAAAGCTTTGTTTTTCAATTTAACAAACTAATGACAGACTCAAAAACTCAAAAAGAGTTTTGCAAAAGAAAACTGAAATGCGCATATTTTTTGCACTTCCAAATTTTCTACTCCAAGATGCATTAAAACTGCGGAGATCTTAACAATGCCAATTTTAACCATATTGTTTTAAAAAATAACTAAAAATACTCAAAGAACTTCAATTACAACAGGTAAGAAATTGATGGAGATAAGTACACTGAAAAAAGCAAAAATTCTACTTTCAAATATATAAAAAGTAGATTCTGCAAAGCACCTTGCATCGTCAGCTGTTCAACAGCATTGGAGTATAATGTGTACGTAGACGGACCTTGTGTTCCTTCAGGTAACCTTTGTGGACCAGCTAAATATGGCGGAGAAATGTCCATGTACATAGATGATGTACTTTGCATATACGGTGAAGAATCACCTATCTAAAAGCTATTGAGTGATTAGATAGAAACAACTTTTTTTCAGCAACATCCTCCTGGATGTTTCAAAATACTTCAACAACGTTATTTTTCTTCCAAAAAAGACTGTACATTCTTCAGTTAAAAAAAACTTTGTTACTCATTTTGACAAAAAAGAA